TGTGTTCTTTTGACTTGTGAAACGTCTTCTCATTTATAATCGAATAAAAAAAAGAAAAATATATTTAAAGTTTTATTTAGTTGTTACGGTAATATCCCAAGGTTCATCATTGTTTGCTTATACTTTCTTTGTAACTGCACCAATTATGTTATTGATATTGCTTTGAGTTTCTTCCAGTCTTATTTTATCATTTACAATATCTTTAATCATTTCATTACATGCATTCTTAAAACCATCTGATTTTTCTAATTTACGTCTATCACTTTCTTTAATTAAATCAAAGTTATAACCTTGTTGAGAATAAAGTGGTTTCTTTATCAATTCCTTGAACGCTTCTGAAAGTGAAGATGAAGAAATTCTTGCCACTTGAATTGGTTTAAATTCTGCTTTCATTGCTTCTTTCTGTTCATTGAACACTGGATCGAATAAAGCAACTTTAAAGAATTTCTTAGCTGGAATTTCAGGTCTAATATTTGCATATTGACCATCAAACTGATTAACATATCGTGGTAATCCATCCGGTCCCTCTTCAACAGCATTTAATTCTTCATTGAAATAAGAATATGGATTATAACGGTATGAATTAATTGACCATTTTCACCTTCTCCAATGTATTGTTTAACACACCTTTTTCCATTCATCAAATTTCATAGGATAACATTCATTTATATGCTTTACGTTTAGGATAATCCGTCATTGTTAATTTATACCCATTTATGACTTTAATATTTCCTTGACCATCAGTAACGAAAACTTCATTTATACCATCAGGTTTTCCATTTGGACCCGTAATGTCTGCTTCGCGTGCTTCCCAATTTGGACCATGACGTTTGGCATATGCTTGAGCTTCTGGTAATGTTAAAACGTTTCTCATTTGTTTAACATCTTTTTGAAGACCAGCAACAATATGAACTAATTCTTTCATTCCATCTGGAACTTTCATAGTTCTATTATAATATGCACCCTTTTTGTTTGTCCCTTGTTTTAATGGAACCTGTAGAAGATTTGCTATTTCTGTCATGTTTAATTATAAATAAAAAATAAAAATTAATTATAAAAAGTTAATCAAATTTAACACCTCCTTTATTTAAATCAACTATTATTTTTCCATGTTCACCTAATTGCTGATATTGTGTGTAAAGTTCATTAATGCTCATTGGTAAATTCACTTGATAAAGCATAACGTTCAACTGTTGACGACTAAAACCACTGAAAATGAAAAGTGTTGATAGATTTGATTTAATGTTTTTGTGCTTAATGCTTTGAAATATTGAACAGCCATAAAGAATGAACACTGAATGTGTCGACATTGAGTTAATAACTGATTAAAATATGATTTCTCATTAGTTATTAGTTTTGATTTCACTGCATCATCTAGAAAAATGAGTGAATGCAAAAATTCTCTATCAAAATTTGAAATAGAAAGTGTTTCAAATAATTCATCCCGTTGTTTATCAATAATTTTATCCTCTAATCCTTGCTTCTTGATTGTATTATATAATTCTTTATACATTAAAAAGTTTTTTAAATAATCTTCTGCTTCTTCTTGTGATAAATAAATAATTGGAATTTTGATTAAATGCTTTAAAGATTCAAATGTATCATCTGAAGGTGAACCTGAACGGTTGATATAAATTAACACATGTGAATGAGGGGAAGTGTTAGCAATAATGATAATTTGTTTTAATATCGTTAATGTTTTACCTTTATTCTGTTTACCAATTGCTGCAGTGATTGAATTTAAATAACATTCAGAATATGGAATTTTCATTAATTTTTCCTTAGATAGAGCATTTCTATTATCACTCAATGCTTCATTAATCATATCATCTACGTATGTATTATATACTCCCGCTAATTCTTCATAAGGGGTGGATGAATTTAAATCCATTTAATCAAAAATAAATTTATAATTTTAAACATTTCTATTCATCAATATTTCATCATATGAACTTCTATACTGTGGTGGTGTACCTGTTGGATGATATTTCAAACCTTCGTCCGGTGTCCATGTCCAATACGTAGTCCTAGTAAACCAAACCTGAGGAGGATTTGTCACCTTTGAACAGTAAGTGTCATTTACACCCTGAATGATTGGATAAGCTTTCACTTGTACTGTAACTTGTGAGTTGAAAGTTTCTAATCCATCAAAGAATATACCCGCTCCATCACGTTGAACTGGAATAGTGCATAAGAATGAAGTTTGGTCTTTCCATGTTCTAGCTAATGGCGTGCCATTATCATCATTCAGTGGTCTAGTTAATGAGTCCTCGTATTCTTCCGTGCATTCATTCACTCCATCTAAATCAGAAGCTTGAAGCATACGTGTAAAGAATATGTCGCCCACTGTGGTCATCGCTTGATCGGGGAAGTTTCTGGAATCTATAGTGACCTGAAGACCTCGAAGCATTGGATTTTCTAAAACCGTTCTTTGCATTGCATTCTTCGGAAATGTTAACACAACATCTGTAACATTATGAAGAGCGTATGAGAAATCTGAGCTAATACCTTCAGGAGTGATGCAACCTCCATTTAGTGAACGAACGTCAATATGTTGAGCTGGAATCATGAATGGATCTTCCTTACTGAATAAACGTGGTATTGCTTTAACTGATTCTTCAATTAAACCGTATCCTGGTGTAATGCATTTATCCTCTAAAACTTCCATCTTTGTGCATGAAATAATAACGTTATCAACTGTTGCGTCAGCAGATGTAGCGGCTAAGCTTGTAATTAATTTGGCAGGAAGTCCGATTTGTTGGAATTTGCGATCATATTTATAAACATAATTCATAATCTTTTCATAATTTTCATCAGTTATCTTTTCATAAACGTAATTTTGTAAATCAGCAACTCTTAACGGGTCAACCTGACAAAATACTAAAGTATCCCTGAAAACATAATATTTAAGAATGATTTCACCAAATGATTTAGGATAATCATCGAACGCCTGAAATGCTAACAAATCATTTACCGGAATAATCATATCAAAAGTGACATCAACTTCTTCATTTGCTTTCTTGAAAACTTCTGAAGGGTCAATATATTTACCACATACTGAGTTATCATATTTTTGAACATTATTATATAACGAATGAACAAACTTTTTAACTTTCCTTTCTGATTTTGGTTTATATGTTGCAAATGCGAAAGATTCACGGCGCAATCCATTTGAAGATAACCGGCATCACCTCTTTCAGTTTCTACTTCTAATTGTTTAAAGCTTTGATTTGATGATTTGTAACCAACGAATAAACGCATGCATTTAAAAGCGGCATCACATGTGAAAGCTTTATTTGAAACTAGAGTTGCTTTAACTTTGCGTTTAATATATGTGTCACCTAATTGATTCACATCATGAGCCGGATTTGTAATTCTTAAATGAGTTTGTTTATCATCAAAATATGGAGCATCAGAGTCATAGCATGAACTTTCAAGTTCTCTATAATATCTTCTACCGTCATTCTTTGCGAATATTTCATTTATCTTTTCGAATGAATGAAACACATTTCCATTAATCGGTTTAGTGTTTGGCACCAAATAGTTAGTCGTCATTTATTAATAAATAAAAAATCAAAATTAAAAGATGAAAATGAATTTTTAATTTTAATGAAATAATCAACTATGGCTGCAGGATTCTTTAAAAAATTATGGGATAAAGTAAAAAGAGGAGCGCATAAAGTTTGGGAAACAATGAAGAAAGGAGCAAATTGGATATTTAAGAATAAAGAAGCAATTAGTGACGTTGCTGAATCAATAACACCAAAAGCTGCCCCAATAAGAGAAATATTAAATAAAGGAGAAAAAGTTTATCAAAGACTTCAACCGATACTAAGATAAAAATAATATTTATTTATTTTTCCACTATTTACCTCCTATTTTATTAAGTATTCCTTCAGCAATTCCACCAATTGCGTTACCTGCTTGTGCTCCCATCGCTGGATTACCTGCTTTAGTACCTAATACTCCACCTATGATAGTTCCTGCCGTTTTCGCTACTGGTGCCAAAAAGTTTGCAACGGGTTTAATAATATTTTTATGAACCCAACCTGCAGCTTTCTTAATTCCATCCCATAATTTTTTAAAGAATCCCGCCGCCATTTCTGATTTAATATTAATTAAAAATTCATTTTCATCACTTATATTCTAATTTTTATTTAATGATAAATGAAACCGATTTTAAAAATAAATGAAACAGAGGAGGAAGAAATAAATGAAAGTGAAGATGTTCAACAAAAAATAAACGTTGTTAAACCAATTACTGAAATAAAAATTTTTTCATCTGTTGAAGAATTTAATGACTATTATGCTAATAATAAAAAATTATTTGAAGAATTGACAACGTGTAAATTGAATAAAATGTTTAAAGTTGATGGATTCAAAATTTCAAAAATAAAAGGAGTGGTTAGTTTGAAATCTATTCCTCAATCAAGAATCACCTCATTAATGAAAATAGATGATTTAACAAAAAGAATAGAAGAGATTGAAGAAAGAATGAATCAAATAATTGATTTCATAAATTCAAATAATCATTAATTTCTTAAAGTTCAATGTTGAACTCATTAAATTCTTTTTAAAGTTTATTTTTTAAAAAAATTATTTTTTATTTCATTATGTATGGGCTGAGTGTAAATGTCTTACAATTTTGAAAATTTTTTAAATCTTGATTTATTCAAAAACGTAAGAATAAAAACCGTCAGAATCATACATTTTTTACTTCATATGTTAAAAAAAATGATACAAAATCGTTCTATATTGTATGAATTCTTACGTTTACAAAAAAAGTCACACAACCCTTCCACATATACTACTAAGAATTTGATCAAATTCAATTTTCATATTCTAATTCTTTGCATCATATACATTCATTTCTTTCAAGTTTTCTGTATCGGACGCAAAAGATATGAAAAGGAGTTTAATATCAAATTATCGAAAACTTATTTTTGTTGTCTATATCATATTTTAATATAACTTTTATTAAAAATAACAAACAAAACTATTTAAACAATTCTAACACCTTTTGTATTGAACATTCCTCCTTTTCCTGCCTTTACGCCTAAACTTCTATGGAATTCATCACCATGCGCCCAGTTTTCGTTCCATATTGTGACATGTTTATCCCATGGAACGTAGCCGTAAACGTAAGTTGACCAAAGAATGAAACCAACGAAGCAGAGGAAGACAGCAAGGCAAGAAGCAGCTCCTAACAAGAACTTTGGAAGGAATAGTTCGATTGCAGCACCAAAAGAACATGCTCCAAGCATCAATGGAATTAAATAATGGTATAAATACATTGTTCGAGGAATTAAATAGAATGGGAAGTATGATACAGCCCATCCGAGTGTAAATCTTATAGCAATTAGCCATTTCTCTTTTGAAAATCCGAATAAAAGTGACACCACGCCGATAAATGCTAAGTAATACGAAAAAGCATTACCAATACAAGTAACGTCGTGGCCGTCTTTATTCCAGAAACCTACGAATATATCTGTAAGAAGTGGCCAGCCAATTGGTCGGCTTTGGAAAGGATGATACTCAGTAATTCCCATATTACCTCTATGCATTCTAATTGTAAGCACTATCGATCTGTAAACCACAGAATGACCTTTCACACGTTTACCCCATAAAATTAAATCACCGTCTTCTTTGTTTACTAACTGATCTTTCATATGAGGAGGAAGATACGGAGTTCCTTGCCCATTGAAAGGAGTGATTATGAAATGGATCGAAAATGCTGTTAAATATGTTGTAAGAGCAAGTCCTGCAAGTGTAACACCTCGAATAAATAATTCATAAATGTATTCATCATTAATTTCGTGATATTCGATGAGAAGTTCGACTATATGTATGATGCCGTTGAGAGCAGTAAGTCCCCATGCTGTGTTTTTGCATGTACAAGCTGCTCCTAACGTAATTCCTGCAAAAACTTGCCAAATACGGAAACGAGTTGTATAACGTTTGATTGATAATGAGTAGCTTAATACGCATAAGTGTAAAGCACAAAAGAAATGAAGCATTCCGTCACTTAAAATAAATCTGTGTTCGCAAGTCATTGATGTATCGAATAATATAATTGCTGCTGCAGCGACAGCTCCACAATGACCAAATGAAGCAAATCTAACTGTTAGATATATTAATGGAACGCACATTGCCGAAAAAAGTGGAGGAACAATGCGCACACATAGATAAGTTTCATCTGGATATGGATGGCCGTATTCTCCGCCGAATTCTATCTCTGCAGAATACTCAGCTAGATTAGATAACCAATACATAATCATTTTCCCAAGGGGGGGATGAATATCAAAGAAGAATTCCGAGCGAGTATACCAATTTGTGAAGTTTCCGAAGTGTACTTCGTCGAAAATAACATTAGGAGGGAACTGAATTTGCCAAAAATGAATTCCGTATGAGAGAATTGATAAGAAAAATATAATAAATACATCTGTATTGTCTAATTTGACTTCCTCAACTGGAGGAAGCTTTAGCTTCAAGTAGTTGACGTATTTCGTCAAATCCATTTCAGCTAAATATAAAAAAATGACAACTTATGCAAGAAAGTAGGAAAAGTCCATGAAATTCAATAATTTTCGAGCTACTCATGCATGAAAAGAGTACATTATTACAAAATAGATAAAGAAATGTAGATAAATCATGAATTTGATTACTCACTAACTAAAATTTCAATTTCTTATAGGTAAGCAATACATCAAACTGATTATACTTGGCTACAGAAAAGGTGTGAGTGATATTTTTTCTATAACAAGGAAATTACAGTAATAGATATCTTGAACAATAATTAATCATACTTACAAGATTCTGGCAGCTAGAACAATTCTTATTTATTTGAATATTTGCTCATTTTGTCTATTATAAGGTAATAGATGATAATCACAACAATTTTTGATTGAGAATTATGTTTGATGATGAATTTAGTAGGGATAACTAACAAAACTTTAATCTATTACGAATCTACTGCTAAAAGTAATATGCGCCCTTGTATTTGATAGTTCATGTTCCTCATAAAATGTATTCATTTCAATTTTCAAACAATACAATTTTCAGAACTGCGGGAATATTACGCAGTTCCTGATATTGAAGAATTGCTTCATAATATCAGAAAAATACAATAGAATTTTGAATCAAATATCGAAAAAGTGACGTTGAAAAATTATCAAATGCTTCTTTGCTTTTATGGTCTAGTTTCGGCCGCAACTATAGTTGATAACTCTGTAAACCACTTTACCTTTCAAAGTAGAGAAGTATGTTTAAGGAATTTTTACTGGTATCATGGCGTTGTCGAATTTAACGTTAATGAAAACGATAATGATATAACAGCATTAAAACTTACATGGAATAGTTCTGCAGGTGCAGGAACTACCCCAGCTGTAAATATGCAAACACAAAATCGTTATAGATATGGTCATTTCGAAACTAAAATGAGAACCCCTGATACATCTAGCGATCCAACTACAGGTGTCGTTTCATCATTTTTTACATATTGGAAACCAAAAGCCCAAGATGAAAATCATGATGGAGTTGAAGACGTTGCTGAGATTGATTTTGAGTTTCTTGCAGGAAATCCACATCAAATACATCTCACAGTACACGTTGGCAATAATTGGCCATACTTATCCAAAATTTACAGAGTTGTCGACCTTCAGAAAGGTTTAGTTACGAGAACAGAAGACATTTTTAAGAACGCAACACACGAGTACACAAAAGATATTCGAGAAAGATCTTTTCCAAAGACAATTCCAAAAATTGAAAGTTATTCAAGTGTAGACTATCATGTTTACGGCTTTGATTATTTTCCAAATCGTGTCGAATTTTGGGTAAAAATCAATTCACAGAAAATATTGTTATGGAACGTTACAGAAAAGATTCCATTTCTACCAATGCACATGTTTGCAAATCTGTGGTGGACGAATGACTGGTATCCAGATTATAAATCAAATATCGTAACCAAGCCAACAATCCCGATTCACGCTTGGTATAAATATTTCCAATATGTTCCATTATCTGTAGAAGAGAAGAAACAATTTGAACCAAAGGTAGAGACACCAGTTCTAGAAAGAACTCCAGAACCAACAGTAACAAATGAATCTCCATCTGAGTCTCACTCAACATCATTTAACAATTCAGAAGAATCTCAAAATGGAAATACTCCAACTCAAAATCCTAAACAAAGTAACTGGAAGAATACATTGCTTTATGGTATTCTTGCTGTTGTTCTCACTGCTTTTATTGCAGCAGTTATCTACGCTGTGTATTATTTCAAAACAGCACATGATGATAGTGATGACTCCAAAGAAAGTTTAGTGTAATTTCTTTTGTTTATATTAATAAGTAAAAAATTTAATCATGAAATTAATTTGGAAACTTCATATTCAATTAGCAAATATAGGGTGTCCAAAGGTGCGTTTAGCACAGCGCTCTATATGAGACTATTAAAGGAGATATATGCTGATTATAAATATATAATAAAAAATATGAATATATGTATATGATGAGTATGTTGTATTTTGGCGCCATGCCGGGATATAAAATGAATTTTGAGACAAGAGGCGGTTTCGCGGGAAATTTTGGCGGGATTTTTTTCATTTTTTTAATGAATCATAAAGAAAACATCCTCGCTCTTGCAAAAAAATGCAAAGACTGTAAAAAAATCTACGAGACATTGGTAAAATGCTTCGGTATGGATGCTCCTAGCTATTCCACTGTAACGTATCATGTTAGGATGTATCACTTCATGAACAAAAAGGCGCCCATCATAAAAATTGACAAAAAATCGCCGGATCAAAGAAAAATCAAAGCAATTCTTCAAGCGCTAGATGAAGACCCAAGAGCATCACTCAGAAGGATAGAGGAGATGACAAAGATACCACGTACAACAGTCAGTTATTATCTGCACAATTATTTGAACTACAAACTAGCGTATACACGTTGGGTTCCGCACAACCTTAATTCAGTTCAGAAAAAATCTAGAGTCCAATCTTCGAAAGAGCTCCTCTCTATATTGGGTGCGTATCAATCCAAGAAGTTTCGCTTTTTAGTAACAGGGGACGAGTCTTGGTTTCAATATGCAACAGAAGCCAAAATCATGTGGATCCCGAAGGATGAAAATCCGCAAACATTCCCGAAGAAAAAAATTGACACACCAATGATGATGTTGTCGGTTTTTTGGGGCGTGAATGGCATCATCGCAATTGATATTCTTCAAAAACCTAATACGATGAATGCTCAGTATCTAATTGACAATGTTCTTACTCAAATTATCAATTCTGATGAGTTTGAGAAATCCAAACAACAAAAACAAAAGTTTGCAATTCATTTTGATAATTCAAGAGTTCACAAAAGTCATAAGGTAATGAATTACTTGGTGGAAAACAATGTCAAAGTTGTTCCAAACCCAATTTATTCACCTGATATTGTACCCTCTGACTTTTATTTATTCGGCACGCTAAAAAAGAGAGCTGAAGGACGCGAATTCGCGAGTCCAGATGATCTTGAAAATTTTGTAAGAGAGCAATTTGAGCAATTTTCTCATGATGATTTAAAGCGTGTCTTTCAAGCCTGGATCGATCGCTGCGAACGCGTGATTGAATCCAATGGTGATTATATTTAAATAAACTTTATATATATGTAACTTGTTTATTTCTATTCGCAGTATTCAGGTTTGTGCTAAACACACCATTGGACACCCTATATCACCTTGAGGGAATAATTAGTTTGATTTAAAGTGAAGTGCCCTAAATGAAAATTCGACACCTTTTTTGCCTCCGTTATTAGCTGTGATCATTGAAAGTGTGTTATTATACAAGCATATTTGTTGCACTATATGAAAAAAGAAATGCGTTATATGAAAATATATTTTTACTAATTAAAAATGTAGTTCTCGAAATCATCGATGATAATAAAATCTCGAAACGGGGAATGATTGATATATGCACTACTTTTGGCTCTAAAACATTTCACATATATTTCAAATATTAGAGGTTAGATTATTAATAAAAATAAAGGAGTATTGTGGAAGTTGTTGTGGTGATTTGTTAAGGGATTAGAAACAGCATAAACTAAGCTTTCTAGAGGTCATGTTACAGCATAACTTTCATCGATATCAAGTATAACTATGTACATTATTAGGCTTTAGCAATATTAATTATTGCTTTGATGTTTAAATCACACAAAATAAATCGAAAGGAAGCATTCCAAAAATGAAGTTACATTTAAATTGGTGCTTGAAAATTAATGGACTTGAAATTGCTTGACTTTGTTGTATTGAAATATAATCAAGAACTTCAATCGTTGTTTTATCTGAGATTTTAGATGTTCCATCAAAATGAACTATCACTGATTGTTTACCGAAAAATGATTTACAAAAAGTTGATAAGATTGTATTACTAGTTATAAATAATTGACTTCTGTTTGGAAATGCATTTTGATAAGATATTTGAATTGTAAAATTTCCAGGAATATAAATGTTGATTAGATTGGATATATCTGAAAATGCATCATCACCAATAGTAATTGAATATGATGTGCAAAGGAATGCTATACTTTGCAGCTTTGGACAATGATGAAATGCCCATTTTTCAATTTCTGTTAAATTACTATTAATTGAAAGTGTAATTAATGATTTACAAACTGCGAAAGCAGATTCACGAATTCTTGTGACATATTTAGGAATTATGATTGATGTAAAATTGCAGTACAAAAATGTTTTTTCTTCAATACTCTTCAGACTCTCTGGGATTGTAAGAGTTGTTATGCTGTAACAGTATTCAAATGCACATTCACCTATTTTTGCAACATTTTTTGAGAGTGTAACTTGTTTTAAGTTCGTACAATAGCTAAACACATACGATCCTATTTCTGTTACTTTTTGTGGTATAGTTATATTTGTTATTTGACTGCAGGAATAAAATGCACGATAACCTATCTTTGTAATATTTTCTGGAAGTAAAAAATTAGGTACAGATGAGCAATATGTGAAAGTATTATCTTCTATCAAATTTAAATATCTCGGAACTGAAATAAATGATATATTTGAACACCCACTAAAAGCATATCTCCCAATTTTTTTAACAGTGTCTGGAATTGAAACGTTTTCGAGTGCTTTGCAATATTCAAATGCATTATCTCCAATCACATTCACACTTTCAGGAATTATTATACTTTCTAATGATTTACAATAAGCAAATGCAGAAGATTCGATTTCCAAAACTTTTTCAGGAATTGTTATATTTGTTAGTGATGAGCAATTATAAAATGCACCAATTCCTATTTTGATAATATTTTTTGACAATAATATACTTGATAATGAAGTACATGTATTAAAAGTATAAAGTTCAATGGATCTTACATTATCTGGAACTTCAAATTTTGATAATGATGTGCAATGTACAAATGCGCTATATCCGATTTCTTGAATACCACTATGAAGATGAATAACAGTGACATTTTTAACATTATAAAAACAATTAGCAGAAATATTTGTTACATAATGTGGGACGTTATATTCACCTGAAAATGTTGGAAGAACCTTAAATAATGTTGAATTATCAAAACCTGAGTATAATGATATCGAATCGCATTTAAAATATGGATTCAATGGATGTGTTGTTATTGCTCTTAAAGGACAATCATAAAATGAATTTGATTGGATTTTATTCAAATATTTTGGGATATAAATTGATGATAATCCAGTGGTTGCAAAACAATATTCATATAGTTCTTCAAGTTTTGATTCTGGAGATATGATTATAGATTCTAATATACAATTGTAAAATGCATTTTCACAAATAGTAACTACTGAATCTGGCAATTCAATTGACGATAAGTTTGTATTGCAAAAAAAGCAACGCTTTCCAATGCTTGATATATTTGGTGGAAGAATAACTGTTTTTAAGTATTTGCACCCATCAAAGACCGATGCATTCAATAAATTAAGTTTTTTGCATTCACTGAGATTTGCACTTTGAATTTTTGTGTAATGGAAACTATATTGATGTAATTGAATTTACGCAGGCCATAAATGCATAGTTGAATTCACCATAGCTATATATCTCTTGAATATTTGCAGGAATAATTACGTCTCCGGTAAGCTCTTTTGTACATCCAATGATCACTGGTTCATTTTCTCTATATATGAGATTGCATTCAGCATAAGAAACTAAATTAAAAAACAAGATCAAATAATAATTTCAATAATTTAATGTAATTTTATATGAAAATTTCTTTTCTTTTGAGGACAAACTAAACTTTATATAATAAACAATTAATTTATGGAATAAATAATGTTGAAATATATGAAAAATAAAATAAGATCGATTTTGACTCATTTTTATTATTAAATATGCTATTTAAAAAGGTTCTAACTTGATAATTGGTACATATAATCAGATTTATCTTTTGGAGTCATTCTTTGCAGGAATTACCTCCAAAAATTTGAAATCAAAAAGTGTCAATTCCGAAAGATCTGGTTAAATCGAAATATACAAACAAAACTTTATTATTACAAAACAAATTATAGAAAGGCTTGAAAGTTTTCCTCGCCTTTGTTATCATCAGCTGTATAGAAATCATTATTATGAATGATTTTGTACAAGAAAAATCCATATAAACCTATAATTATTATGAAAAACGCAGCAATAAATGCTAAAGATATCTTTGTAGCATATCTAACTTTTTCTCTTCTGAAAATTTGCTCTGGATAAAATATTTTCTTCTCTCTAAAATTCATATTCGGTGTCTGAGCAGGATAAATATATTCTGGTGTTCTAGGAACGAATTTTGGATACATCTTTATTGTAAAACCTTCTGGAAGAGGTATTGCTGAAGGTTGTGGAGTTGGTATTCCTATTTCAGCAGCAAAACAGATATTTGTTCTATTCGGACGCATTCCTTTGAAAAATACTGATTCATTCAGCGAATAAAACGTTATAGAAGTCCCTGGAGAAAATGCTTCATGAGAGACAGAAATATTATTATTTCCGCAATAAAAGAAATGGAGATCATATGCTCCATAGAAGCTTTGTGCTCTTATAATTTTTGCTACAGGACTTAAATAAATTCTTCTAAGATTTGGGCATGCATAAAAAGCACTTTCTGTTATAATGATAATATTGGAAGTTCTCATATCAATCATTTCCAAATTATCCATATCTGAAAAGCATTTCATACTAATAATAGTAATATATTGTCCTAATATAATTGTTTTTGGATATTGAAGCTTGTAAAAAGAATTAGTTCCAAATTCATACGTGGAAAAGTTTGTCAAATCAAGTTCAAACTTTCTTTTTTGTCCTGGCTGAAGATGATGTCCAAATCTTTCTAAATTTATGCATCCATAGAAAACCTCGTTTCTTAGTCCCTTGCAAAACTCATATTGAACATCTCTAAGGCTTGTACATCCTTTGCAACATTGATAATAAAATGTCACGTTTTTGAAAAAATACAAACTTTCAAGAGCAGTACAATCTTCTAAAGAACTCGATCCGAAGTCAATATTCAGATTAGGGAATGTTATATTTGCTAATGATTTGCAGCTATAAAATAATTTCGAACCCATTCCTCCTGTTTTTACCCTGGAAAGATCAGCAAATTTCAAATTTCTACATTCAGAAAAAGCATAATCAAGAATAAGAGTCAAATTCGGGCCAAAATAAAATTCTTCGATTTGACTACTTGAAAAACAGCTTGTTCCAATAACTCTAAGGGAACTAGAGAGATTCACAAAGCGTACTCCTGATCTATAGAATGCTTTCGATCCAACATCGACGATTCTGGCATGAGAAGCATTAAAATTTTTCAATCTTGTTAAAAAATTAAAGGCTTCATCACCAATATATGACAAAGTCGATGGAATAGTGATATATTCAAGTGACGTTCTGCTGAAACATCTACTTCCTATCGAAGTTACGCCTTCTAATAAAACAATTGAAGATAATCTTAAAGAATCTTGAAAGCAACTTTCAGGAAGAGTCTCTGAGTTAATTTCTGCTATTGGAGTAGATGTTTGCATTTGGTAAAATGCTTTTTTCTCTAGTTTTGCGCCATTTGTAATCTTTAAATTTGAAATTTGCGTTTTCGTTAAGCAGCATGAACAATACAGCATAATATTGCTGAAATTAACTTCAATACTATGTAAAGAAGTGCAATAATAGAACAAATTAGTTGAAAATTTTGTGATATTAACTTCATTAAGGTTAATTGTATTTAACGATGTACAATATTCAAATGCGTGATCTGCGTTATTCATATCAACGCCATTTGGAAAGTTTACTTTCTTTAATAATTTGCATTTATAAAATGCATATGGCGGTATTGAAATAAGTGTTTGTGGAAGATAGATTTTTTCCATCTTGTAAGAATCTGAATACACACCTGTGATTAAAGTCTTAATTTTAATATGTGATATATTTGAAACGCGAATGAATGAGTTTGAACCGAGAAAGCATTGCAGCTCTGTGATTGTAGATGGAAATTTAATTTCGATAAATGCTGTTTTGTTTAAAGCTGATTTTTTTATTGAAGTTAGTGCAATTTCTGCGTTATTAAATATGAATTTTTCTGGTAATTCAAGTATTCTGTCTTCCCCTATTATATTACGCTCCGAGATTAGTTCGGTTAATTCGCATGAAGATTCATCTTTACCAAATATTGACATTTTCATAAAATCAAGTCCAATCTCTTTAAGACTAAAAGTATATGGTGCATTTACTTTATAGTTATCGGCAATACGAAGTGCTATAAAATAAATACACCCAACCATAATTAAATTTAAAAAAATTTTATATGTCCAAAATTAAGGTCGTTTTCTATTTTGATCAACATTCTATATTTTTAAACAATAGCAGCTTATTTCTCTCAGTTCATAAAGTTTGCCACAAAATTAGTTAAAAAATTGATTTTAAACTGTAATACCCCGCATTATACGTAAACAATGCAATGGAAATGGAAAATCTCTTAAAAAGATCCAATTTATACAATTCTTAGTATGCTATGTTTAGTCAGCATTAATGATACATTTGAATTGAAAATTTTGAATACTTTCTCAATTTTTTATGAAATATGTTTTGATCAGATACAGAAGCACCCTAAGTTATTCAGTTTCATTTGTAAGAGCCATTGCTGTGTATAGTAATACTTGATAGACAAAAAGCTTCAAGTACTAATTCCGAAATATTTCTTTTTGATATTTATCTGAATTGTCACTTTTTATAATTTCATTTATGGATAAAAAATACGCACACTATGGGATCGTTTGCATCCTTTCAATTATAACATTTTTAAATTTTGTGGCAGCTTTCACATTATCATGTATTATTTCCTACTATCCATTCATCTTAACAAAATATAAATCTCTCGTTTCTTTATTGGGAAAATCTTCAATGGCAATTACTCAAGCTTGCACAGTACTTATAGTTTTATCATTATCAGTCGTTTTAATTTTTTACTTTTTCAAACTTCCAATTTATTTTCTCATATTGAATCCTATTTTTCAAATAATTTCTATAGCTCTTTGCTTCAAAATTTTGTCCATTTTCAACACCTCAAAATCCCAGCAAATAATCGACGATTTTATTACTAAATTTCATTCATTAGAACACATCAGCGCTTTTATGATAAAAAACGAATGTTTCAATACATCTCTTGACCGTGATTGTGAAAACAGTTATATTGGCCTTCAATGCTGCGATTCAAAAATCGAACAAATAATTAATTCGAGATTTGACTATGTATATAAGAGAATGAAAACATGGACATATTTGTTTTTGGTTTCGTTCATTCTCCTCGTAATTGTCGCAATCGGGTCTTATTTCTACTTGAAACGTAATAAAAACGAAGAAAATGAGGACCAAAAATAAAAATACATCCTCCAGACTAAGCTTTACTTAATAATTCAATTCAGAATTTCAATAATAATTTTCACTTTCAATTATTATAATTCCTTGGTTCGAAAATACAAAATTTCATGTAGGACGTATTAATTTTACTATTATTATTCATTTTAACATTATTTTATGAAATATTTTATTTTTATTTTTTACTTTTTTTTGTTATGAATAAATTCACTTATTATTAAGATTATATGCAATTGTTTTTAACTTTCCCTTCCTACAAACAATATAGGTTTATCTATGATTTTTCATTTTACAAGATTCATTCATGAATTCACAAAAGAATACTTTGGGAACAAGACGTTGTGGATGTAATGTGGATGATATAGACTTGCATCATAACGAAATAGTCGAAATTCCGAAATTTGGCTCATCAAAATTCAATATAACTTTCATTTTCCCTGTTCAATTATAATGTTTTTGTATAAGAATTATAATTTTAGTATTGTTTTTGAATATAAATTTCAAAACGTCATTTTGTAAATTTAAAGAAATAGTGCTTCAAAAAGTGACACGGATGACTGATAAATTCGAGCCAGGTTCAATTCGTTCAGTCAGAATGGTCAATTTCATGAAGCATTCCAATCTGTGCATAGAGCTTAAACCACATGTTAACTTTATCACAGGTAGAAATGGTTCTGGAAAATCATCAATTTTAGTTGCTCTTTCTGTTGGTCTTGGATGCAATTCAAGAGTTTCAGGAAGAGGTAATAAGCTTGAAGAATTGATTAAAGATGGCCAGAACAAAGCAATTATCACAATTACAATTCAAAATGGCCCGGATGGCTATAATTATGAGACCTACGGCAATACCATTACAGTCATAAGATCAATCACCAGAACAACAAGCCATTTTGAAATCGAAGGATTCAAGAAAAATCAAAGTACGAGCATTCGTGAAGAATTAGAGCGTATTCGATCATTTTTCAACATTCAAATTGATAACCCATGTTCTATCATGCACCAAGATACTGCTCGTGAGTTCATTGCTTCATCATCTCCAACAAGAAAATACGAACTTTTCATGAAAGGAACTTTGCTTTCTCATCTCATAGAAGAGATCAAAAACATCAAAGTAAACATTGAGAAGGTCGAATCCCAGAAACTCCAACGCCTTGAAGAAAAAACAGAACTTGACAGAGAATTCGAAAAGCAAGAAAGGAAATACCAGATCGTTAAGGAAGCCGATGGCATTCATCAGCGCATACATGATCTTGAAGATGAACTCGTCTGGTCCCACTACAGAGTCGCTTATCAAGCTGTACAAGATGTACAAACAAAGATCGACGATATCAAGCAGAAAATTCAAGAGAAAGATGTTGTAATTGAAGAGAAGCGTCGCAAGAAAGAAGAAGCTCAAAAACTCTACGATGAAAATAAAAAAGAATATGATGAGAATATGGCTAAAATCCAAGAAATCAGGAATAAAATTCAGCAATTAGGTACTCGATTAGCACCAATTAAAGCAGAATTACATCAGCAGAAGTCTCAATTAACTCATCGCCAAAATTCCGTACAAATGATCGAAAAAGACTTACAGCGCAAGGGTTCAGATCTTGCAAGGATGGAAGCCCAGCGCGAACGAGAGCTCCAAGATGCTCAAAACCGTCGTAAAAAGTTTATCGAACAAAGACAAACGGAATTACAGAACATTGAAGTCCAATTACCAAGCCTCGATAGCGAAATCGACAGCTTATCCGCTCAAATCAGCAGTCTCTCCAACCAGGAAGCCCAAGCCGGAGCTGCATGCAGAGAATACGAATCCAGGCTCAACAACGTCAAAGGAAAACTTGAAGTTCTTAAGAAAGCATCCTCTTCTGATGACAAATCCAGCAATGTTGATAATTCAAATCGTTATGATTTCAAGCCATTTGGTCCTTTGTCGAATTACATACATATGAAAGACAACATGAGCAAATGGGCACTTGCTGCACAACATATCGTCGGAAAAGCCTTGGATGTTTACGTTGTTCACTCCAGAAACGATGAACAACAGTTCAGAAGAACAAATCCAACTGCAACGATCATTCAATCCAGTTTTACAAATCCTAGATACGACATTGGCAACCCCAGACCTCCTTGTGATGGTGCACAGCGTATTATCGATGTTCTTTCATTCAAAGACGAAGAAATACAAGGCGTTGTCAACAGAACAAGAACAAAATCTCACACAGGAGACATAATTTACAATGTTTTGATTGATATCTATTCAGCGGACAGGACATGGTGTATTGAAGATGAAAGGATGGCGAAAGAAGCAGCGTACAGTGGCCGTGTTCCTTCAACAATCACAACAAGCGGTGTACAATTCAAGATACAAAGTGGTTTCGAAGTAATGTTGGGTGCCAAAAACATGCAAATAAGAATTGGTGAAGACACATCCGCCAGAATGATACAGTTACAAAAGGAATTTGATGCTATTTCGCAGAAGAGAAATGAAGCAAACAGAGCAGCTGCTGACATCAAAAGACAAACAACGGATTTGAGAAACAGAAGATCAAATCTTGATAAACAGAAATCACAATTAACTGTGAGAATAAACAGAATCAGAGCTGAATTGGCCAATCCTCCTAATGATGGAAGTGATATCGATGATAGAATCAGTAATTTACAGGACACAATTGCTGATTTAAGAACAAAAATCGAAGAAGAAAAAAGAGATATTCCTCAATTAGAAACAAGAATTGAATCATTGAACAGAGACAAAAAAGCTCTCCAAGAAGAAATTAATGATATCAATGACCAGTTAAAGACACAATCAACTGATAAAAGTAATACAGATAACTTATACAGAGCCATCAAAACTGCTGAAAGAGATTTCGATAATGAACAAAGAGAAAAAGACTCTTTGACATCCCGTTTGACACAACAAGAAAACGAGTTCAGAAAGGCAGATGCAGAAGCTAAATCTGTATACGAGAAAGCCATGAAACACTCACCAGAACGCGAGCAACAATTTAAGAATAACACAAGACCACCTGGCCAACTTTCAAATCTCTTGAAACAGGAAAGAGAAAAATACGAAGAAGCACAAAAAGTCAATGGTTTGGACTTCAACCAAGTTAGACATCAATACGAGAAGATGAAGAGAGAAGTACAAAATGCAGAGACTTATTTGAATGATTTGGCTGAATTCATTGACCATTCAGAAGAAGCTTTGAAGATGAGAGAAAAGAAGTTAGAAGAAATGAAACATTCTATAACAAGAAGAACGAAAATTTCGTTCATGCAATACCAATCTAAAAGAAAATACACAGGAAAGATTAAGTTTGACCATGAACAACATATCATTAATATCGCTGTCAAACAAAAAGCTGATTCTGAATTTACTGATGTTTCTAATTTGTCTGGAGGTGAAAAGAGTTTCTGTTTGGTTTCTTTGCTTCTTTCTCTTTGGGATGTCATGGAATGTCCTTTCTATTGTGTCGATGAATTCGATGTTTTCATGGACCAAGTAAATAGACAGGCTGCTACTTCTTTGTTGGTTCAAGGTGCTCAATCAATGAGTACAAGACAGTTCATTTTCTTGACTCCTCTTTCTTTGGATCACTTGAAGAATGCTGGCGAAGATGTCGCTATTTTCGAAGTTGCTTCTACAGATCCTACTCAGTAATTTATATTTTTTTATTATAGATCTATTTTTATTTGAATTTTTTTTAAATATTAGATATTAAGGGTGCACACGAGAGGATCATGTAAACTTCAGAATTTAGAACCTTATTTTAGGCATTATCTTGGCTACCTATTTAGGCTCGAAAAGCAAAAAATATCAAAAAATACAACTTGACTCCATTATGACCCTTTCATGGAGGTAGTTTTTATCCGCTAGTATTTTCCCTTTGAATCTCTTTACAATTCGAAATCAAATTCAAATCTCAGTAGAAGAAAGGAAGAATCGACTTACTACGATTGTAATACGAATAAATACATATATTTAATTATTTTTATTTACATAATAATTGTTTGAAGCTCATATTCCATCAAATTTTTAAATAAAAACATTAAAATGTTGAAAATGTTCATATATTTTAATAGGGTTTTGGCACTTTATTGAGGAATTACTACATACATAGTCGAACTGAACTTGATATTTTGAAATTTAAATTATTTATCAAAATTAAAATTTAACTTGAAATTTATAATTATTTAGTCATATTTTGCATAATTCTAAGTAGATTTTGTAAAAAATCAAGAAAGAAAAATTTTAACGTGCTTTATTTTTTCTTTTTTATAATAATACATATTATTATATAATTAACATATTCATAATGTTTCACCCTTTCAAAAATATAATCCTCCTCCTCTCAAATAAACGTACATACAGGTGGCCTCTTTTTTCAAAAAATTAAAATTTGAAATTTTGGGCTCAAATATTAGAGATTTTTTCAACCTTCAACTAGGGCTGTACAAAATCGAGAAAAACATTGCCGTGCGGTAATATAAGGTCAAAAAAATCGCGCCTCGGTGGCTCCGCCGCCTCGGCACTATTAAGTGCGCATTATATTTAATATGTCCTTCTTTTTTTTTCTTTTTTCTTCTTCTTCTTTTCCTTTCCTTCTTCCTCTCCTTCCTCTTCTTTCCTTCTCCTTCTCTTTTTACAACAACGTCGAAGATCTTCGAATTTGATTGTTGGAAAAGCATCTATTTCAGATAAAGGATGCCTTTCTCACAGTCAACATACGAGAGTCCTGGCCGAAACGTTCTCAAAAAGCCTGAGATGGTAATTCTCTGATCACTCATAGCTGGGCAGGTAGTCATTGCTGACAATACCTGTCTTTATGCATGCACGCTTTCATGTATATGGGTTTACACTATCAATTCGCAAAGTTGTTCCGAATTCTTCCAAAATGGAAGGACCCGAAACAACTTTGCTTGTTAACGATACAGACGCATTACTTTGCATTGATACTGTGCTGAGTTGTGTAGAAAGTTTGATTAGAGTTGTTTTGTTCTGGTATCTCTCATCTTCTGATGAGAGAAATCAAAGCAACACAACTCTAATGAGTTTGTTTTCACTCATTTGTATGTAGGTTTTTAGTTCGATTGGAGCTGCTTCATAATGAGATCTCTCATCAATTGATGAGGGAGATCATAACAAAGCAGCTCTAATGTATATGCTCGTATTAACCGGGTTGTAATGCGTTGTAACGTCAGCTTGTAGTTCGTTTGGGGCCACTTCACATTGAGATGAGAAGAAATGATTAAAGGACTCTGAAAGGCTTTGGCCGTTGATGTTGTAATCGCATTACTTGGAACTAGCTGGATGCTAAGCTGTGTAGAATGTTCGATTAGAGCTGTTTTGATATGATTTTTCTCATCATAAGATTGGAGGAATCATAGCAAAACAACTCTAATGGGTTTACCATCATCTACTTGTATGTAGATGTTTGGGAAATTGTCTTGTTAATCGATTTTCGAGATGACTTTCAAATGCTATAATCAAATGACAAACAAGTCTAAGATTTCTCGACAATACATCAAATCATGATGTTTGTAAGTGCGATGAGATTAGAGTTTTTGAAGGAATGACAAGAGAAGTAGGGAAGCTCGGCATTCGCCGAGCAAATTAAAAATTAACGTATGGATTAAATTTTAAGAGGAATTCAATTTTAATTACGGGTTGTTCAAATATTGATTAATATAAATTTATTAATAAGAATAAACAATTTTTGTTTTTGAATTTATTCAATTTATAGCTTTACATATAGTTTCAAAATTGTACAACTATGATTATTTCAACAAAAAATATCTTACTTTTTCACTTCACTTTCACCCCCACTTTTTCCGTAATTCAAATTTCAACATTATGTTTTTAATTCCTTATAGTATTTTTAACATAATTAATCAAATAATAATTGGAAGTTCTGAACTCACTTTTTCCGTAATTCAAAATCAAAAATATGAATAATATATCTATTTATTATATACTAATGCTATTTTCAACTAGAAGTGAGGTACGGTAATCTTACGGATTCCCGTAACTCAATTTTACGGAAAAAGTGCAGTAAACTACTCAATTTACGGAAAAAGTGTCGTAAACTATTGATGTGGCGGTAAAATCACGGTAATTCACGGAAAGCTATATGCGAAAATTTGAAATTATACAAAATCGAGCGAAACACTTTTAAATAGGTTGTTCTCGCATTTAAAATACTATTCCCAGATTTATTGTCGTCAGAATATTTCCAAATTTTTGCCGATTTACAAAAAATGATTTACAAAGCATATTTTTTAATCTAAAAAATTCCTAAAAAAGGAACCGGTGTGCGGAAACCTCGGTAAATTACCGCGGTTCCCGTTGGGACTGCCATACCTTCAACGATATATGTTGTCTATATCAGACCTCCTTTCTTTTTGATACTTAACATTGTTCCTAAATCTTAGCCGTTAAGGCTGTTCTGAAAATATTTTTTTTTCGAAAAAATTCGAAAAAATTCTTAAAATTCAAAACTCCCTTAATTCCTGAGGATTTTGGAAAAAAGTTTTTACATGAACATGTGTATATTATATGAAGTATATTGATAAGGTAAAAATCAAATTTTATTGCATATTCATCGAGAAAATAAACTAACGAATCCCTCAAAATTGAGAGGGTAATCCCCCTCCTCTCAAATAAACGTACATACAGGTGCACCCTTAATAAACATAATATATAAATATATATGTGATAATAAATTCAATATGCGGGATAATAAAATTTTGAATCTGACTGGAGTTTATCATGATTGCTTGTTGCACTGTTTATAATAAAAATATATCAAAACAATAGCTGGCTAACTTTTTTTTTCTTATTGATATTAAAATATCACAATGAGTTTTCCATATTTTAATATTCTATTTTAAATACATAGTGTTATCATACATTAATAGTTATAGCTGAATCGCAATATAATGTGTTGCACAATCATCTATAAATGAAAATATATCAGTAACTTTTTTGACAGGTTTATAAATTAAAAATATGTTGTAAAATATTTAAGTCAAATATTTTACAACAGACTAGAAGCATAAAATTCTAATTGAATATTATGTCATACGAGTTTAAATTGAATAGAATATTATAAAATGTAAATGCCAATACCAAGAACAAATCAGGTAAAACTCCTCTTAACATTGCAGCTAAGAATAATAAGGAAATCATTGAAAATCTCATGCCGCATGAGGCGCAAATCAATTTGAATGATAAAGACAGTTTAATAATAATAAATTAATCATTGAGTTGTTACTCAAACGCGTCTCAAGTTCAATATTAATATTAATTCTTACAAGGAGCAGAAATCAATAACCATGATGATAATGAGAAGGGTAAAAAAGCTATCGTAATTATGCTTCTTTACTGATTATATTAAATCTATTGCATTTATTGAATTTGTAATCAATAAAACTTAATCCATTGGTAGGCTCTGGGAAATGTTGATTGACAATGTAATAATAAGCGACGTCAATTGCTCTCATAAATTGATTCTGATCTATATTTCCTTTAGTGCAAAATCTTTGGTATTCTTTGTTAAATATAACAATCATTTTAATTCCGATTGCTGGAAGAGTTCCAAACATTGGTAAATCCCACATTTCATTATTTATATCCAAAACTAAAGAATCTTTTTCCATAAAAATGCATTTTAACATATTACTTCCATTTGGATAAACTAAAACCTTAAATTGCGAAAATAGTTTTCCATATGTCAACAAACTTCCTTGTTTATCTATTTCATATTCCCATTTGATATCAGGGTATCTTGAAACTGTCAAATTATATAAATGCTGTAGATTCGATACAACTCGACTATTATATCTGTTCATAAAAACATACCTTGTCGGTTTTATTTTTTTTAAATTGAGTTTCTCACGTAATATGCAACTTAATTTTCTTGCACTCTCTCCAAAATGGGAATTGTGTGGTCGTGGATGGGTTGGAATTAAAACTTGGCTACAGTATGCCCATGTCCCTTCTTTCAGACAATAAACTTTATTTCTATAGCCAAAAATTGTCATATAATCATATCCGAATATTGTATAGTCTGGTAATATAATTGTTGCATATTTAAGTACTTCATCTGGTGTCATTATGAACGGAAACATATAGTCATGAGTGAAATGGCCAAATGAAATTTTAGAATGTCTATGGCCGAATATAACTGCTATGTTTATATATTTTACAACTTTTCCCTCATAATATTGATTAAGCCAAAAAGGACCAGTACAAAAGTGAGGATCAATGATATGTGTACCATTAAATATACAGCTATTTCCATTGACAAAAACATTTTTGTATAGTGTATATCTTGCAGTAAAATTACTCCAAAAATCAACCATAGCATGTTCGCCAAAACGAGGAGGATAGTTATGATCGCCTCTAGGATGAGATATGTCATAATCAAATGTATCTTCAGCTAAATCAAACCAAAAGACCATATTTTTTCGTCGATCCTGTAAAGTTGTGTTAAAATTGTATTGTGTTATTATATTTACATCACCTTCATTATCAACTACTGGATAGTTTCCCCAAATTGTTTTAGGAAAAATTAAAATACTTTCGAAATAGACCTGAGGAATAATAGTGTCAAATGGTGATGAATGTAGAGTGTATTTAAATGAAAGAATTATAAATAAAAGTAGTATTAAAATTAAAGGTGGCAACTTTACAATTTTTTAGGCTTCTATCCGATGTGAACTGATTCTCTCAATTTTTTCTTTAAGAGAAAGGGACAGACTAGCCCATTGTCACTTTTTAATTTAGCAAATGAACGCTTATGGAGTGGAGTTTTTGGGTAAATCTGATTTGCTTATAAATGAAATAAAATCAAAAGAAACCATATTGGCATTATATTATGCAAAAATAAATGATCTTACTTAGTACTTTTAAAGTTAATTTCAGAAAAAATTTGACACAATGGTATCCGGCACATACAAGTGGTGTACAACCAAAATATAAGTTGGTTTAAACATATATTGCTATATCTCATGATCTTACTTAGTACTTTTAAAGTTAATTTCAGAAAAAATTTGACACAATGGTATCCGGCACATACAAGTGGTGTACAACCAAAATTTCATATCCCTAGTTTTACATTTATGTTTAGTTTTATTTCACCTAATTTTCAAAGATCATAATTGAATTAGATGGCCAAGCTATTCAAAACACGACCAAGCTTATCAAAATAAGACCAATATATTCAAAATTCTTTATTCTTTCAAATCATTTCATTTTAATGCAGATCCAAGATCACGAACTCACATATATCGAGTTGCTTAAGTATGGAGTGTAACAAGAAATCCAAGCAGGTTGTAGTTATTCATATAAAACTAGGAAAGAAAGAAATCAAATCCAATTTAATTGTAAGTGGCCGAATTGTCCATGTCGCTTCCTTGTTGATACACTTCCCGATGACAAGTACCACATACGAAAATGTATTAACACCCACAATCATTCTGCCCCTTTTCCAAACAAATCACAACAAATTACATCATATTTTTATAGATCTTATTTAACAAGATATTTTGAATCAAATCAAGACCGTGTTTACGCACAATTAAGGTGTTTCAAAGATCTTAATATCCCATTTGATAGTGAGATCATTCCGGAAATGTTTCAACAATCTACAGATGCTTTAAAAAAGTTTTCTAAACGCCTTCATGCAATCAATACCCGTTTCTCAGCGGATGATGTTACATCTCTTGCAATTTTTGTCGACATGGTTAAGAGTCATTCTCCAGATGATCTCATCGAGTTTATTCACGAGCCAGATCGTATGATTTTCTATTACGCCCCATTCGAAGCAAATGCTTTTTCACATCAAATACAAACTTATCACATTGATTCCACTTATAAGCTCTTGCGCTCTCGCATACCATTTTATGCCGTCACTGGCAAATTCGCGGAATCAATTGTTTTTCCGTTTTTGTATTTTTTCGTTTGGCCCGACACAAGTGAAAATATACAAGTTTGTCTCACAGCATATTTTGGCTCCATCAATCGCGAACCATCTTATTTTTCAATGGACTGCGCACCTCAAATCACAAATGCTGTTGAAACAGCCATCCCCTTATGCCAGATCATTTGGTGTGGCGTTCATGTGTTGCGCGCTGTCATGAGAAAGGCTGAAAAGTTTCAAGATCGTTCCAACTTCGAAACTTTCTATAACTTAATGAAGTTATTGGTCTTTGGTTCTGAAGAGGAAGAAATTGATCCTGATGAAGTTTACAACAATTTAGAAGAAATTTTAAATGAGGAACCTGCTGCCCGTGAATACTTTGACCGACAGTGGCGCCATCATCTTGACAGGTGGATGCTTCGCTATAGAAATGAAGGAGATGGAACAAACAACATCTCGGAATCACATTTCAAGGTTTTGAAGTTAGTATGTCTATCTTGGGTACGGCGGCACTGCGTTCCACCTTACCCAAGATAACGGTTTGACACTTTACGAAACCAGTAACGTATATTTTACAACACAACCATAACACCAACTTAACCTTAAATATTTACAAAACCATCTGACACATAAACGACTTCACTAACGAATTCACTACCGTCCTCACTAAATAAAAATAACCTTATTTTTATTTTTTTAATTTTTTATTTCATTACAAAGACATGTCCGACTACATTTACTATGACTCTTTCCCAGAACGTTTCCGTGAACTATTCAAAACTCAAGTAAAACTGAGAAACATGCATTTTAACAAAGACAGACCCATTGACGATGAAAGAAACCCTGAATATATTACAATCCCTTATGACGCAAAGTTCATTGCATACATTCCTTATGGTCGCAGAGGAACGAAAACTATTTCAACAAAGAACAAAAATTATTTCTGGAGCGATGAAGAAAATTGCCTTATCTACATAAATGCATACTTAAATAAAGCTACATATTGTACAAAAGAAGGTTGGACTGGATTTGAGCTCTACATATACGACGACGATGGAAACAGACGTTGTGTATACCCATACGATAATATGTACCATTGTTTTCATCAAGCATTAAACGAATACATAGTCAGTAAGGGTCTCATTCCTGTTGAGTAGATATGCTTTATTTTTGTTCTGTCATTTATATAAAAATAAAATAAAAATAAAATAAAAAATAAACTTAAAAATTAATGATATCACCACCCTCACACGTATGAAAATATAGCACAAAAATAAATTTAGGTGAAGTGGTGAGATCTCACCTCTTTTTTCACCTGTTTTTTCACCCTGTTGAATTCATTGCTTTATAACTCTCTTCCTTTCTCCAACTCTTCTAACTTCTTCTTAAGTTCAGCAATGTTGTCCTCATGAAGTTTAATCTTTCTCAAAATTCCTTCTTTATCTAATGGTTGCTTTATCTTTCTAAACTGAACTCTACCATCCTTCATAGTATGAATGTAAAAACCTTCTGGAATCGTTCCTGATTTAATGTATTCTACCAAAAACTTTTGTTTCATTGCTTCAGTGACTTTATTTGTCATTTCAATCAAATAAAAATTTTAATATTAAATAAAAATAACGTTATTTTTTCAGTAAGGAAACGCAGGAGTTTTACGATTTATTTGAGGAGTAGGTTCTGGTTTAAATGTTGGAGTCGGTTTTGGAGTTGACTTTTGAACAGGAGTTTGTACTTCCATAGGTTCAGGAGTCATTGAAGGTGTTGTTTGTGAAGGCGTTGGTTTTGACGTTGGTTTTGGAGTTTGTTTAACTTCAGCTACTTCAGTATTATTTACAACATTTGCTTTATTTCTTTTCAACATCATAACTGCTCCTGCTGTAGCTAGCAAACCTAGTGGGAGACCATATCTTATATAAGGACTTGACCAAATGCTATTTTTGACAGGAGCTGGTGGAACACCTAACCTTGGTGAGACTGCTCTTTGCCATTGTGCAGCTCGTAAAAAATATTCAATAGGTGCTCCATAATCGTTTGGTAAAGTTTGTTTCATAGATGGTGAAGGTTCACGAGAGCTTGATGAAGAACTCATTTATAAGCTTTAAAAATAAACGTTCATCCTTTATTCCTCACTGTCGTCCGTAGCTAAGTTATAGTCATCTAATCTTATTATGGGGATGCCATTAGCACGCACCTGAATGGCAAAGCAACAATCCCTCATAAATCCAATAAGTGGCTTTGGTACATTTTCAGTTGCTAGTTCAATAGGTCCTTTAACAGACAATTTGTATGTTATTGGAGCAGTAGATGTTTGACCTTGCTGGAAGCAAAAGTCCACTTCTGTTGGAAAACCACATAAGAAATGTGTGTTGTCATAGCTATCCCATTTATGTTCCACACTACCATCATCCACCAATGACCTCATAACATCTTCATTAAATCCTATCATATCATTGTTTGTATTGCAAGCGTTCGCAACCATTTCATAAAATACAGGTCCATATGATTTTTCAGGTTCTGCAGGCATATTTCCATAAGCTCCCATGGAAAGCTGAAGATATTTAAACTTAGGGTTCTCAAAATTAACATAATAGTTGTCTTTCTTTCTAAATAGTGCCCAAATACTTTTAACATTAATAGGCGTATAAGCTGCTGTAAATGTTGCACTTGAACTATCTGTATTCTTTGAGAATGAACCGTCCATAGGAATCCAATCCATAACTTTAACAGGAAAACATAAAGCCTCGTTTGTATAATGTTCTACAAGTTCTGTATAAATGTTAGGGTCTAAAGAGAATGACTTTGGATGAATAAAACATTCATTAAAATCCATCTTTGTTCGAAATAGTTGCTTGGTTACAGTTGTAATAGTAACTGTTCCACTAGCTTCTACTGCCTTCGTTATCATAGTGAATGGTTCATTCCATGGAACAAATTTATTTGTCGGTGGATTTGAATCTGAAGCAAATGCAACTTTAAGAGTTGGATTGAAAGCAATGATATCATTTACAGATATAGATGTGCATTGTAAGGCGTCGCTACTGAACTTTACTTTAAGCTGAATGTTTCCTGCAAAAGCTGGAATAAATCGAATAGCTTCTAATGGAAGGAATCTTCTAACAGGAATTCTTAAACGAAGCTTAAAATCAAATGACTTTCCTGCTGTAATTGGACCACTAACAATCTGTCCTGTTCTGCATGTTCCCGAATGACTCCATACATCTTCATATCGAGTCTTTGAGAAAACATCTACTTTCTTTATTTGTTCGGTAGTTTGTGAGTTTGAAGTTATATATGCTTCTTCTCTTGCGTTGTCTTGAGAATATACGATACGACCATTTGCAAGGATTTGATATCCAGCAACTGCATAGAAAGCGTCATCGAAACCAATCCAAAATCCTGGTGGGTTTGTTTTATTGGAACCTGAACCAATTTCTTTATCTACAATAAATTGACCTTCCATTTTATACGTAATGAATGTATTGTAAAGGTCCAACATATTTTCACCAGGAGGCGAGAGATTGAATGTTACCCATGTGTTAT